ATCATTAGTGACTTTCACCAGAGCTGTTTCAGTGCTATGATGAGCTCTAAAGCCAGACTGAAACTCTTCAAAAAGTTCATTATGTTGTAAGTGATCGCAAACTTGTTTGGTATCTACTTTCTCAAGAATTTTAGATAAGAAAGGAAGATTGGATATAGGTCTATAATTGACCAAGTCATCTGGGTCAAGAGACGGTTTCTTAAGCAGAGGTTTAATTACAGCAACCTTAAAAGCCTTTGGTACATATCCCTGTAACTGAGATAGATTAATCACATCTAAAAGGGAGGAGGAGATCAAAGGGAATACCTCCTTAACTAACCTGGTTGGAACTGGATCTAACATACAAGTTAGATGAAGACAATTTTGCTAACTCTGAAAGTTCAATTGGATCAAAGCAGTCTAAGATTCTGTGGCTACCTAAAATGCTGCCTTGCCATCCAGAGATAAAACAATCATAGATAGGAGTGCTAATGATCTTACTTTTAATAAGATCAATAATATTTATACAGAATCCCATAAAATAATTACTTACTACAGGTGGAATGGGTGGTTCAACAGAGCTATGGCTCTAGGTGAGTTTGGCAACTGTATTAAACAGAAATCTAAATTATATAAGGTCATACAGCTGTCTAAACAAGAGAATACAGAATACATAAAGAGGAAGTGGGGAAAAGGAAATTAAGGTTAAAATCTCACAAGAGGGAGGGGAGGAAATCTGTCAATTGCAGTGGATCTCGACCAGATCAAACACATGGCGGGAGTTCTTCTGGAAAAACATCGTACGATTTTTTGTTACACCCATTCAGAGACGATATCAAAACAACGGGGACGCCTGCTGGAGAATCTGTGGGTCTGAAGGAGCTAACCACTTTCATATCTTTTGGGACTGTCAGGTAATAAAAGCATATTGGGAAGAGTTCCACAAACATATTGAAAAAATATTCAATGTAAGTATTCCATTAAAATGTGAAACATTGTACCTGGGCAATCTACAATTGGACACATGAACTAACAAAGACAAAAAACTGCTGGCTACACTACTGGCCATCACAAGGAAATGGATGAAACCAGACCCACCCACTATTGATGGATTGAAATTGTTTACCAGATTTATGTGATGGAAAGGATCTGTTTTTCCCCTCCAATTAGAAAAAGAAAAATTTTATAAGATTTGGTCCAAATGGACTGAGTATGTGAAACCAATTAGATCCGACTTCATTTGATTGTTCTTCTGAAATATGTCTTGCCCTCTTATGTCTTTGTGGTTTTTATTACTCGAGGTGGTGCAATCCCCATTATTGTTTACTTCTGTTCATTTTTGTTATCTTTACAATTAAGTTAGTGATATTCTGTAAAAAATACCAGAAAGGCAACATGGACAAAATCACTTGGACTTTCTGCTTATATCCCGTTATAATCTTAAATGGATGAAGCTGTGATTACTGATGTGATGGAAATCTGTCTTTCTAAATAAAAAAATAATCTAGAATTATTCTTATTCTCCTCTATTAATGAGGAGAAATATGTTGCTCTTGCTTTACAAAGGGTCCTTTTGTACAGCAGTAAATTATTTTGCTTCAGAGAGCACGGCTCTGCAAAAAACCAGAGCCAGCTTTCTGTTTTTAACATTTTTCATTTTCAAAGGAGCTGTGTTGAACTAGCAACCCCATCAACATAATCAACCTGTGAAGGGGAATAAACTAAGCTTTTGGACTCTGCAGCACTGCTCAGCGACAGAGGAGAGAGAGAGAGATTCTTTAAAATCCAGTGTCTCTGAAGCTTTAAATAATTTATAAATGTTACAAAAACCAGTTCCAGGATAAAATCATTTTGAGTGAAACAGAATAAACACCACAGAAGAAGACACCATTGGCTCTTCAACAGTGCCTAAATCTTTATTTTCATTAAGCTACATTTTTTCTCTCCAAATTAGACAGTTTTACGTCATGACACAAGAGTAACTTAAATTATCTAGAGCCAACATGTACGTTTGATTCCAGTCTCAATGGAAGAAAAAAAAACAACAAATAACCCAGAAAGTAAAAACAAAACAACCAAAAGAAGCCCTCTTTGCTGCGACCGCCATCCTGCTTGTGTTAAAAGTCTTGTGTCCGAACCCCGCCGCGGCGGGGGGGTCGGCGATTGTCCACAGCTGTTAGCTCAGGAAGGGTGTTAATGAGTTAGACCACAGTGAGCTGACCAACGAGTCCCAGTATCCAGTCCCACGTCGTGCGCTCGTCGTCACGTCTTTGATAAAGTCACATTTTCTGACGAGATATGCAGCCAGAGAGAAAAACCCAAAGAAAGAATGGCACCGTGAGAACAGGGAGGAGGAGGATGGGCTGATATGAGGCAAACATTAAGACCATCCAGGCTGAGGTCCAGAGTCTCATTCTCCTAACATGCACACGTTCAGAAGCCCAGGGATGCTCCTCCACCTGCAGTCGGAGGCGTCCTCAGCTCTCATCATGAGATGTTTCAGCTCAGTTAGGATACAGACAGCAGGCCGTATGCTTTTCACAGGAAATGTGCCACAGAACCAATAGATAAACAACTAATCAGTGATTCCAGTTAAGCACTGTATTGAATTATTTGTACATCAATCATGAAGACAAGTAAAAAAGAAAAAAAAAATTCAAAAAAGCACAAGAAGTTGCAAAGTTTTTCTCCGTCTCGCATAAAACAGGTGGGAAGATCTTTTCCTTTTTCAACATTTCATCTTAGACCCACTGCGGAGGCTTTAGGGGATCATTTGCCGCCTGCTGCACAAGCTGATGAGGTGGAAATGTGCTTTGGGATCAAGACGTGTCCCTGGAGCATTGCTGTTTGCGGCCCAGTATCTGGACGGGTCGGGATTAATTCAGTTTAACCCCGACTGTCAGACAAGCTTCTCTTTCACCAGCTTCAGATTTTCTGATCTTATGGGAAACTGCTGGCTTTCTGGGGAATGATCTTCAACTCATCAGGGTTCCCTGGTTTAATATCGGAAGTGAAAAAAATCCAGTTAAATCAAATTTAATCAACAGTATGTTTCAAATACAAACCAAATTTCTCTAATCTTCTTAACAGTAATTTAATTTCATCCCAAACGTCACCAAGAATAGCTTCAGAGAGATGATGTCAGGGATCTTTGAGAAATTTTAAACTCAATTTGATGCAGACTTTGACAATAAGATAAAGTTTATAATAAGCTTTTAGCACCTTAGCTGTCTTTTAAAACTAGATTCTCATCAGCTGCATTTTAGATTATTTCTGCATCTAAAATGTCTCCTTTCCAACAAGGATGGAAACTTTCAGCCATTTACAGTTTAAGTTTGAATTTTAGTGTTCAGATGCACATCATGTCATAATACTTTTTGTCCTTTTAAATTAAATCTAATCATCCTGACGTTGGAGACTTTAGTGGTTGCTGCTGATGTGTGGAGAATAAATATGTAGTGCTACTGCATTCAGACTTTAAACAAAAAAAAGCTCAAATCTGAAGCTAAATATTGAAAATCTGCAGTGAAAGAGAAGCTGGGCTGGTAAAGAGGACGCCGGTTGGGTTTTCTCCAAATTTTGCTGGCCGAGGATGAGGAGGAGTGGGGTCACAGGCTCACCTGAGGGCGAAGGCGGAGCCAAAAACAACGATGGAATGCCAGACAACAAAAACATATCATTTAAACAGAAATCAAACTCTGCAAACTAATCATTAAAAAATAAAAATCCAAAAGCACAACAACACTTGTTTTTTTTTTTTATATCCTACATCCAGCGACATTATAGTTAACAAGGATCAATATATTTTTTATAATCATTTTAAGGTACCTCTTATAGTTTTCTGAGTATTTACAACTGTACAAGCAAAGCACATACTTGAAAGTGCACATTTTTAATACAGTTTGGACTAGTTGCATTTACAAGGTTTATAACGTTCCCTCGCAACCCTCCCCCCCAAAAAAAGTACTAAGAAAAACAACCTGAAACTAAAACGAGGAAGCAAAACCTTAGTTTTCATCTTTCATACAATTTTTACAGAAAAAAAAAAGAAAAGTAAACGCTGCCAGATTTATTTTTTTCTCTCTAACATAAGACTTTAACACAAAATATTTTCTACGGTTTCGCTTCATTAAGCTCATCGGGGGGATTTTTATCAGTGAAAAGAAAAAAAAAATTGATGCTCTTCTTGTAGAAAAGTTAAGGCAAAGTTATTTTTCAAGTTTAAATAAAATTCAAGTTTTTCAAACACTGGATGGATTTTCTCTTTTTTTTTATACATTTTATGAGTACAGAGACTTTAACATGGCCCACCCCCAAAACTGTCTCATTAAAAAAAAAAAAAAACAGCACTGCTTTTATAAATATGTGGAAAAGTTTTCATCATTTTCCACCAAAGAAAAAAGAAAAATCAATCCATCCAAGTGCATCTCAGTCCTTCAAAACAAAAGACGAAATTAAGTTTTTTGTTTGTTTGTTTTTGAAGTCCAAATCAAAGCAGCATTAAAAAAAAAAAAAAAAAAAAAAAAAAAAAAAAGGTTTTCCCTTTTCGGAATGGGCGCCTGTTTTTCCTTAAATGGGGTTTTTGTTGCAGGAAGACTTGATCGGGATGTGGCGACGGGTGTTTTTCCAGACAGATATCAGAGCGAAGTGGTTTTTTTATTTTCAAACATCAACCTGAGCACACAACTGATGAGCAAGAAGGGAGCGTCACAACCCTCCAAAAAGGAAAAATCTAACTTTTCTCACAACTGTTTGAATTTTTAAAGATTTTTGCCAGAATGGCTGCTACAGTAAACAGATCTACCGAACAAATATCCCCCAAATTACCGCATTGAACGGTGGATTCTATACTACTTCATTCCCATGTTTAGCCATTAGTGACAGCTGCTATGGCTTCAGGTCGAGGTAATGTTGGGTCCTCGAAGTCTGTGCTTCAATCTGCTAATGAACTGGTGAAAAACGGGAGTAGAGAGGCGGGAATAATGCTGTGTGCTTACATCAATCTATTCAAATTCTTAGGAAAGGACTTTTCCCACTTAGAGCACAGACAAACCAGGAGAAACCTATCCAGGTCCCACAGCCGAACAACATCGAACTAGAAAACTAAATGTGACAAGAGTGTTTGAATTCAACTTTATCCAGGATAATTTTTTTCCATTTAACTTTCCTGATGGGTTTCCTGCCCAAAACCAACCTGCTTAAGACTCTTTAACATCCTAACAAACCAAAATTGGTTCATTCACCTTCATCTGCTCTACTTTCCTAAAACCATCACAGGTTTATTCCTGCTTCTCCACTTTCTAGATTCATTGATTACATGCGCAGTTCTCCAGGAGGAGAAATCCAGACAAACTCCTAAATCCAACAAATATCCAACAGAAGTTGACAAAAGCCACAAGAATATGCTGGAAAACAAACTTTCTCCTGTTCCCCTTGAGTCGTAGAGCAAAGGGAATCCACATCGAGCCTTGTTAACTGGGAGAAATGGTCAGAACCACAACCAGTGCACCACATTGAGTTTCCCCTGCCGGGTCAGCTGCTTTAGGGTCAGCAGATAATCCAACTAAGGGAAAACAGGGCATCCGGCTGCTAGCTAGTGTTAATCCCATCATGCATCGCAGTGTTTCCTGACAGCTCAGATAGAAACCAGCCAGATCCGATGATGGACTTTTAAACCCAGCATGCATCTCACTTCTGTTTCCAGTACATCTCTGCAGATCAGACTGATAAACTGTAACTGAAGCAGGCAAATACGTCCAGCCTCTTCCCAACAGATTCCTTCCCTTAGAAAGGTCTGAACTAGAGACAGGGTCGGGGAAAAGGAAAAACGCACAGAGAAGCGATTCTGTACAGGAAGAAGCAGCAAGGGTGACACCCAGTGGTAACTATCAGTAACAACAGTCAAAATCAGCAGATTCAGCTAAAGGGAAGAAACAACAAAGATATTAATGTTAGTGTAAATAGTGGAGAAAGTGACGTTAAGGATCAGATTATTGGCTGTTTGATGGAATAATGAGGAAAAACAGAGGCTCCTAATGAACATGTGGATTCGGCGCCACTCATGCCCCAAACAACTGGGTCCAAAATAAAAACCTGACAAGGTGGAGTCTTGTTCCCCATCATCTGCTGGGCTTCCTGCCCACAATGCCCTGCTTTCTCACACAGCAGACCCATTTTAATCCCAATCCTCAACGTTGAAGACTTCAGAGAAAAGAGGGAAAAAAACTGCAAATAAAAAAAGATCTGGAATTTTTTTTTCTTCAAAAATCAAATAAATAAACTAAAAGAAGAAAAAGAAGAGACAGTGCTGTACATGCACGGTAAAGTGCTTAATGTCTGCAAGCCCTGATCCAGAAAAGAAGGCGTCCTCTATGCTTGTTTGCCGACTGGTGATACTGGGATATAGGTTGAGTAGCCCTGACTTATTTTCTGTTTTTTAAACTCATATGTGGAGCGTAGTGGAGGAAGAGGAGGGGCCAGGAGCCACTTTACTGAGGGGACTTGGGTGGGGTGTGGTGGGCATCTTTGCTGGAGGTTTTTCCTGGGTGTGGGGGCGGGGAGGCCCACCGCCCGGCTGGCCTTCGGCCCTCCTTTAACGGTCTGCCCTGGGTGATGGAGGCAGGGCCGCCTTTGGAGGAGGGGTGGTAAGTCTCTCTAGCCTTGTGCTCCCCTGATGGGGTGGGGGTGTCAGTGCACTTTCTCTCCTCGCCTGCGGGGGCAGCGCAGCTTGGCTTTGCTTCCTTGGTGGGGGCAGAGTGCAGTGATGTCAGGTTCTCCTTCGCTCGCTGGCAGATCTCAGCGTAGGAGGGCTTCTTCTGCTCCTGTCAGGAGAAACCAGCAGCTGTGAACATTTTCTGCAAACATCTGAATCCAACATGCTGGGATGCTTTACAACAGAGTCACAGAAAAACAGTCTATAACCAGAGACATTTAGACATGGAGAATCCATAATCCATCAGAACCAACCGGTTCAAACCTTTCAAATCTCCCAGAATCGTTCTATTGTTATTATTTTAGATTCCTAGTCTTCATGCCCGGTCCGCTGACGGGAAACACAAGCTGTAGCAGCTGCGTGTTAACTAAGGAAATGACCAGTCAGCTACCTGCAACATTGGTGATGGGATTACATCATGGTCAACATGACAGATTACCACCTAGCTAATCTTTGACCTGCTGAAAGCCGTTGTAGGCCGGGCTCCCTGAGGGAATGGTTTTCTCCTCTTAATTCATAGAGCAGCTTCAGCAGGGAGAGGAGAGATTTTTTTATTAGGGATGCTCCAATCTGGAAATTTGCCTCCAAACCTGATTGCTGTAAGGAGCCGATCACAGCTGATACCAATCAATGTGCATCGCATGGACTGACAGTTCATTTTTTGAATTTAGGGGTAAATGCTTTAACTGTTATCTGGCAAAACTGAATCATAAAAATCACCAAGTTAGACAAAACATACAAAAACAATACAAAAAATTAACTTGCATAATGCAGCAAGTGTTTAGTCAAAAGGACGATTAAGAAAAAAAACCTGCTAACAGGTTTAAAGGTGCAGTAGGAGATCTTTTCTGACGCATTTTCTACCATGTGGCTTAAAGATCTCCCCACAAACTTCAAATAATTCTCTAATTTAGATTATTTGAATTATGTTTATATGATAAAACCCACCAACTGAATGATTAGTTATTAGATCCATTCATTCCTCTCTCCATGAAAGAGAAGAATCACTACTTTCACGTCATATTTAGTAGAGCTGAGGTTCAGTAAACAAAGCTGAAGATATAAATTCTGTCAGGATGCCTTCCTGCTGTGCTGCTGTTTCCTCCAGCTCAGACACTCAGCATAGTATCATAGTCAGAATCAGATTAATAAAATAGTCTTAAGTATCTGAAGCATCAGAAACTGTGACAATAAAATCAATAAGATTATAAGAGTTTATATGTTATGTGTTTATATACTGGTTGAGAGTTTAGTTTGTGACGGAGAAGCTCTGAGGTGAAGGAGATGAAATCAGAGTGAGGCTGCATACTGACCGTGGCAGCGCCGTTCACTTGCACCGATTTGCTGGAGGTGGACAGAGTACCGGGAACGCGCTCCACAGATGGCTGTGCCTCCTTGGGCTTCACCTCGGTAACCTCCCTGAAACACAGAAATGCCAACAGGAAACTGGTAAAGATGCGGATATCTTCTCCCCGGACATCAGAGCGGAGAGGTTGTATAATCTGGACTTCCCCCCTCGTCCGTATCTCCCTTACAGTGAGGCCGAGGGGTCGGGACTGTGCGGCATGCTGGGGGCTGTGGTCGCTGTGGTCGAGGCTGGGGGAGCGGTTGGGGTTGTGGGTGAGGGCTGGAAGCTTGGAGGCAGCGGGGAGGCGGAGGACCGGAGGGGCTCTTTGGGACCCGCTGGAGGGAGGGCGCTGCTGCTGGACTCTGCACTGACATGCTGTAGCAACGACAGAAAAACCAGTTAAAGGAACAGATCCTGAAAAATGAGACGCTGAAAGACCAAATGCTGAGTGTTTGAGTAATTTGGCTCAGTGCTCTGAATGTTTATGATGCTTCTCTGCTGATAAACCATTGACCTGAATAAATGGCTTCCTAGTTACTAGTAAGGAGGTGATCAGAGCTCCACATGTTCATGTTCAAACCCTCACCTTTCCAGACAACTTATAAAAAAATTACAACAATGGAAGGAATTTATTTTTATAAATGTTCAGACCTGGAAATTCCTACAATTAAATTCCACAATTTTCCAGGATCTCAAGGACTGCATTGCAGCACATTGACACATTTAAAACGTGCAGGACTTTGGTCCTTGACAACCTCAGCAAGAGATCAGTCCAGATGACAGATAAAAAAAAAATAAAACCTGAAGGTTGCAGTTTTTACCCGCTCTTTAGTGGTTCCAACAACCACACTGCTCGCCAGTCGGTTGTCGAATGCCTCGTCAGCCTTGAGCTGTCCGGCTGCTTCGGGAAGCGGGGGGAAGCTGGAGAGGCCAAGTTCGAAGCTTGGAGACGGAGGTTTGGGAGGAGGCGGTGGCGACTGAGGAGCGGCTCTCTGCACGGCGATAAACAGAGTCGGCTCAGAAAGAGGAAGAACGGAGAAGCAACAGCAGCATCAAACATGTGAGCCTCTGAGAATATGGAGAGGAGTGGAGCACTTACTGTAAACTTTTCATCCCTCTTTTTCCTAGAAGCAGAAAGATTTTTCCTTTAAGAAAGAGAACATCTGAATTTACAGACATCCCTACCAGCTAACCTCAGACCAACATCTGGAAGCTACCAAATAATGATTCTGTAACTGATCAAGTCTGTTATCAGCTCATAAATCATAAAGTCATGTTGTTTATCTTTACAAACTGTAGGTAAAAAAAAATGATTGAGATCCTATTCATTGCAGATTCAAACATTTCTCCATTCTGACCATTTCTAAATGTTGTCAGTTTAGGAGATGAATAAAACCATCTCCGTCCAACAAAAGCATTCAGAGGACAGATTTACCTTCCCCGGCCGACTCCCAGGGAATAATCTGGAATCAGAGGTTCGGTCGCGCGTCCTGTGCCCGCGACGTCTCTGCGAGGGAAGGCCGCTGTGGAGGGTAACCTGGTCCTGGGCTGAGAGGAGGGGAGCCGCGTCGGCGGGCTGCTGCGTACGCCGTTCAGCCTCTCAGAGGGGAAGTTGGGAAAGAGGCTGGGGCTATCCAGGAGCCCGGTGGTACGGTCTGCCGTGGGGATGGCCGGCCTCAGGTGGGGTTTACTGTGATTCCTGAGCGGAAAATTTAAACTTATCACTAATCTATATAACAGATTGACTGAGGCAGAGCAGCCAACGGTTAGAGACCAACCTGTTCCTGGGTGAGAAGTGTCTGACGGTAAGCGGTGATGATGCTGGTTTGAAGCTGTGTGACGTGGTGAACCCATTGATGAACTGGTTGTTGTGAAAGGGCGTGACCTGGGAAATTCATTCATTCATTAACTTCAAGAACCTGAAACACTCTGGAAGTGTTTTCATGTCAAGTTATCTCTGGGTTTAGGAAACTGAACACGAGCGGCAAATCTACACCATTTAACACTAGGACCCACAAAATTCTGATCTTTCTAGAACTCCCACTGGCCCTCAGTTTTAATGGGGGACATTTTTACCAATGGAACGCATGAGTAGTGATGATGTCATCAACTGAGATGCTTCTAGTGTGCGATATAAATGTAAACCTTAAAATATGTCTAAAATATATTTTTTAAAGGCTGCACTGTATGCTCTTATTATTTGTGGTCTAAAGAAAGAAATTGATTGATTATCCACGAATATTTACCGCACAGGACCTTTTTACATTTATGACAAACATAAAAGCGTTTTTTTTTTGTTCAGCGCTGAAGCACCTGGCGCTGCTTCCTTTGCCTCGCCAAAGCTGCTCTTCAGTGGCGAAGGGGCTGCTAACCTGCGGAGCACGTGTGGTTTCAACGGTTCAAGAATAAAATCTGTTCCTGGGACGATGATGTTCAACAGCTCCCGAACAAAACCAAAGCGTTTATAGCTGCTATGTCCAGGAGATCGTAAAGTACAGCCACAGGCAACCTTCGCGTTGGAGCTTTTACAGAATACTTTCTAATCATCCACGCCATCCACGCAATCCTATGCGATTATAACAAAACACGGGCTCTGGTTTGGCTTTTGGGCCGCTGAGTGTACAAGCTGAGGTGTAGGCGTTGCTATCCAAAACTTGAATACAAGTTTCACTATTGTCTGATGGGTCACTGATATGTCTGCGTTTTCCCGTGGGTGGCTGGTCATCCTCGGAATCGCTGTCAGAATCTGAGCCGCTTCCTACCCAGTCCCCCTCATCGGTTTCTCCCTCTCCGCCCGAATCGCTACCGTCAATATTTTGAAGCATTTCTAAAGCCTGTTTCGCTGTTAGGCTTCTTCTGAAAGCCGTTCCGTGTTAGCCAAAGAGCTCTAGGTAGAAAGTTGGTTGCTAAGCAATGGTACTGGACGCCAATTAACCGTGGGAAGAATTTACAATGCAACTAATAGAGCCGTCAAAATGACGGCTGTGGGAGATCGAGGTAAAATGAACCATATTTTTTATTTTTTTTTTACATTTGATTTTATTTTAAAAAAACTACGTGAAAATGAAGGAAATATAGAAACAGGAAAACTCAGTTAACATGAACAACATACGATTAATGGAAATTAAGTTATTTCCCTTTAAAATCTCAGAACTGTCAAAATGACGGCCTTGGGAGTTCTAGTGTTAAAACAACTAATACACCCTGCTTTTATATTTCCCCCTCCTCGCTTTAGCATCAGGCAGATATTAAGCTCTAATAGCAGGCATGGTGGGTATCAGCTGACATTAGAGAGACACTTTTAAAGATTGAAGAAAAAAGCTTTTTTTCTTTGCATTGTTTCCCACCCTGCTTGTCCCAACAGAACATCTTCTGTACTGCCAAGATTTTAATTAAATAGTTTAAACCTGCATGTCGTTCATCAGCCTTTCTTCTTCTGCGCTAATATTTCAGCCACTCTGAGTAGTGAAATGTGGGTTGTGTGTGTTGCGGTCCGTACCAGCCCTGGGTCGATGAAGCTGTGCGTGGACCAGGCCTGCGGCGTGATGAGGCTGTACAAAGGGAACTGCTGCTGCGGGCTGTAAACAGGTGGGATGTAGTAGGACGTGTAGCGCTGCTGGGCGTATGGGTTCACCTCTACTGGCCGGTAGCCGTTCTTTGGCATGAAAGTGTTGATAGCGATTGCCTTCGCCTTTATCCTCGCCTGAGGGAGGGTGGAGATTCATAGCTTTAGATCACAGCAAATGGAAACCATGGGGATGAACTCAGAGGAGATTTAGCTGGATCCATGAACCTTTTCAAGAGAACCATTTGTTACCAATAAAAAAAAAGAAAGTAATATACGGATTGAACTTTACGGATTGTATTCATTATACCTGAATATTAATCTAAAATGAATTTGACAGTTTATAAAAGATAAAGCATCTACATGCATGTTGATAAATTCAAACCAAGGTGATATTGCTACAAACATTCGAATCTGGGTTTAGATCAAATCTATCTGTGCCCAAACACCGAGCAGACAGTTCTTCTGCCACTCTGGTTATTAAATATAAATGTTTACTCATGTGCAAACATGCTGAATTAAAAGTTGATGAAGATTTAAACCAGATGTCAGCCCTTTAAATCAAAGTATTCATCAAAGTCACTCAGCAAGCTCCTATGTGTGAGCCAGAATAACCTGGATTATTAAACTCCACTGTTTAAGAGCTTGGAGATGAACAATCCATGACCTGCGCAGATCTGACACAGATGATGATAAACGAGTAATTATCTCTGATCCTTTTAAAAAGAAAACTAATCTTGTTTAAACACAGAAAGTCACACAGAAGTGACCGTGTCCAAATTACACAATCTAAACCATAAAATAATCAGAAATGAAACAGTCAGGCTGTAGGTGATAAACGCTTGTAGGCAGTAAATAATTCAGTTCGCTACCTTAATTGGCTTCCCTTGGAAGGTCTTCACTTCTTCACGAAGATACTGATATGCCTTTGGAGAACAAGAAAAATCCCATCGATAGAAAACATTAATCAGAGTCAGGAAGGCTTGTTGATCCAACTCAGCTCAGTCCGAAAGTTTAAAACCAGATTCCATATCAAAATGAACCATTTTTCACATTGAAATAAATAATAACATTAAGGTTAAAGGTATAGTGGAGGATTTTAGCAACCCTGTACCCGCTCCCAAGAAGGAACGTCTATTAAACACGTGCAAAAGCATACATGAGCCCATTTCTAGTCGGGGAAATGCGGGGACGCAATGATAACACGGTCGCTCATATGGATCTCATCTCACCCATATTTACATACAAAAAGTTTCCGCGCAAATAAGACTACTAGTACATTAAAAAAAAATGTATGACCTGCATGTATGTGTGTGTGCTGCAGTGGAAATTTGGACACATTTGGGTAAATAAGGATTTATGGCCACCTTTATAATTACTAACGATGCAAATTACAAAGTAAATAAACTCATCTTCCCCGGAAAGTTACAATATAGAGGTAGATTTCTCCAAATAGCATGCCAAACTTTACCTGTCGAGTAGAAACTTTGCAACCGCTGCATCAGTGGGAAGCCCGACCTGTGCTTTCAGTGTATGCCATCGTGTGAAAGAATCTCCAAAAAAACATCCTGGTCTTTTTTCTTTCTTCTGAGGTCTTTCTTTTCTTCTCAAACACTTCGTAAACACTTTTTCTTTTACGACCCTTGGCCATTTTCAAAGAGCCGCTGTGAGAAAGGCGAGCTTCAACAACTGGCTGAAACCACAGCTCACCACATAAAAGTGCGCATGCACAGAAAAAGGTGGCTAGCTGAGGACGAGCACGTAGCGCGGCCTTACGTAAACATATCACCAGAATGATTGACAATTGGGAGCAAAAGTTATTTAGATGATCCACCTGGAAAAAGAACATCCTCCACTATACCTTTAAGCACAGGATTGATTAATGGATGATGTGATGAACTGATGAAACAAATAATAGTTGGATAAATCGAATGGTTAATTTACTGAGGACTGAAAAAACTGAGGTAGAAGATTAAGGAACCCCTGACAGTACTGCTCACATTCAGATAAAACCAGCTTAAATAAGGGCTCTGATTAGGTCTTTATCATGTAAACAAAAAAATAAAAAAATATATTTCTCCACACTTCCACAAATATAAATTATATATATATATAAAAAAAAAACCTTGAAAACAAATCTCAGATATTATCACCTTTTCAGTCAATAACTACATAAATCAAGGTGCTGAGGAGATTCAGAAACAAACGGTTACCTGCTGAGCATCTGCTTCAGATTCAAAGGTAATGAACCAGTTGTCGTTGTAGGCAAATTCACAGTTGATAAACTTGGGTAAATTGTTCCCTTTGAAAAGGGCTTCCACCTCCTGGAAAACAACAAAATGAACATATATGGTTTAGGAGAACGAAAGCATGTCACAGAGACGCACAGATCAAGCATTATACCATAAAAAATAAAAACATTACAAACAATATCCGCATGGAAAACGTGACTTTTGGATGGAAATAAAAACGTTGAAAAAGCTTGAAGATACAATGTTTTTAGGGACAAATAAGTTCCAAGTCTAAAGTACATTAAAGTATTAAATTACGACAGGTTATTAAACCCTTGAAGAGCAGCTAAGATATGTTATTCTGGGCGAGTCCATCTAAGAACCGGACAGGTCCAGGATATGGACTCAGAAGTCTCCATACTCTGTGACTCAGTAAAGGCAACGCTGACCTCTATAGGTGTGCTCTCTGGAACCTCTCGGAGGATCACAATGCAGCGGTTCTGATTGGGTCGCACCTTCTCCCCCTTCTCATCCACCTGGACCAATGGCAAAGCTGCAGGATGACAAAATTAATTAATAGTTGTTGTTTTTTATATAATTCTGTCATGTTTTGGTCGAGCTGCATGGTTGCCCACTGATTAACAGTGTAGTACTTTCATTGAAGATGTTGGTTTAAATTAGACAATAATCCACTTGTTTCTGCTTTAAATTTAAAAGAATAAAACTAATAATTATTTTTGATTTATTATCTCTATGCATTATTAACTCCTTAACAGTGACAGCTCTCTAACATTTAACAGGAAAATAACTCATGATCAAATGTTAATGCATTAAGCTTTCCAGTAGTTAGCCTACAGCTTTCACTGTGCTTTTAATATCTTGACAGGATGCAGATCGATGAGCCATAAAATAAAAACAAGCCTTCAAGGCAGGTAGCTTTCATTTAGGCTGTAAATTGTTTAAATCAAATGTAGGCAGGTAAGACTGATGGTTGTGCTTTAATAATCTGCTTTGGGAAATCAGTCTGAGCCACTTCCTCCGGGGCTGCTGCCCCTGAATGACGTCACTCTGTTTGTTTTCAACTGGTGGTTAAACAGGTGAATGATGCGTGGCTGGGTGATAACAGGGCTTTACTCACATCGTAAAATGTCTACTATCAGCTCCACGTCAGTGCTCAGCTTCTTGACGTGGTCCAGGTTGGCCACCGTCACAATTGGCACGTACTGGTCGCTGTCCATCTGGGAGATGAGGTACATGTCACTGGCCAGGTTCTCCCTGACACATGAAGAGGAAGAACACCAGATTAGCAACAAAGCTACACAAAGCAGCTGATTTTAGCAGTCAGGCCAGAAGGAGAATACATGAATTAAAAGGTGAGTCCATTAGTTTTTAAAAACACTGCAAAAAATGGAAGTCACTTTTTTCTTAAAATAAGTGCATTTGTTCTTGAATTGAGGAGGTTAGTGAGACACTTTGCCAATGGAACAAGACAATTTACATTTAAAATAAGAAAAGGCAACTATCTTATTACAAATGCATATTATCTAATTATCTTATTTTAAGAGTAAAAATACGCATACCATTTGGGAAATCATCCATTTACCTACTAAAATTAAGGGTAAATACACTTGATTTAAGAAATTTTACTTATTTCTAGATCATTTTTGAAGTGCACTGTGCTGGTTCGATACTTGGCAGATTTTTTTTAATCAAGATGTTTCCTCAGAGGGGAGCAGAGACCAGCAGGCTTTCTCACTTTCAGTTTCACCTTAAATCATTGCCTAGAGTTAGATAATCAAGCAGACCACATCTGATTTCTATGAAATGCTCCAAAAAAAAAAACTACCCACTGTAGTGAACCTTTGATATTTACATAGTCTAATGAAATATAAGAAGAGAGGAAAACAAAACATGTAATTTCATGAGGCCTTGACTTAAAGCAGCAGCGTTGTGTCCGGCGCTGCAGAGGCGTCAAACCATGAAACAGGCCTTTCATTCAGCCCAAGCCTGACGCCCATAGAAACACAAAGACCAACAGACGCCCTGTCCGTTAAACAGAATCCAGGCTCCCACGGGGCAGACACACCCCTGAATTAATGATGGTGAAAGCAGCAAACAGGGTTTTCTGACAAATCGGTGATCTTGTTACATCACACTACCCAACAAAAGGAGAGGAGGAGCGCAGAGAAGGAACTGCTTAATTTAAATGTAATTTGATCCAAAAGTAAACCAGAGGAGGCATGCAAATGTTTTACTTCAGAAGGACATCTCTGACATATTGTGACATGTTTCATGTCCAGCAGTCAACGAGACGGGCAGTCCAGATGAAGTTGTGCTGGCATCTGATCAGGAAGCCTCCTGTGAGATTCCCTACTGAGGTTTCCAGGCATGCCCTGCAATGACCAGACCCTGGGAAGACCTAGAACTCACTACAGGGACGATATATATCCCATCTGGCCTGGAAGTGTCTTCAGATCCTCCCAAATGAGGTGAAGACTTTCCTCAAGTGGAAGCAATGTGGTATTGAGAGTGAGCGCTAGCAGCTAGCAGAGCATCTACCAATTAAAACATTGTCTAAAAATCCACTGAATCAGAAAGCATCTTAGACACATTACAACATTTCAGGGGGCTTAAGATCACTGTAATGTTCACCAAAAATTAAAGAAAGCATCTAACATCTGTGCAGCCATTTGGATCCTAAACTGACCACAGGTTCTCTGTCCCATCAACACCAGCTAGCATCTGGAGGGATGCATGCAGTGTTGGTTCATGTTCTGCATACCCAAAGAGGACCATCATGGTGAGATCGATAAAAAGAAACGATTCTACCAAGGCCTCAGGCGCCTTGGTGTTACTCCTGCTTTAGAGCCAGAAAGCCACAAGGTCCAACTTCTGGCAGGGATTCAGTTGAACCTGACAGCAGAGCATTGGGACAGCGAAATGCTGCGTCAGCATATCTGTTCATACTCAGCCCTCTGGTGAAGACTAGACCAGCTAACACTCACAGAATGTATGTATAAACTAAGGTTAACCAAAACTAATGAAATTCCAAACAGATATGGAAAAAGATTTTTTAAAATTAAAACTAAACTTAGCAAAACTTTTTACAAAATCAGAACTAACTGAAAGTTTAAGAGATGAAATGCTTATTTTTTCTTTGTGTCTTTAATATAAGGCTTAAATATGAGGTCTATATTCAAGGTGTTGCTCTAAGTAAGCCCAATTTACATGTGTGATACATTATTTGAAAGCTAACACCTTCTAGTTTCTGAATATATACATGAAAATTGGGTGACTAAAACACAGTGCAAGCTGCATCAAGCCCAAGATGGATCAGTTCAAACATGACTCAAAGTTGTTTTTGTATTCTCGAAAATAATTGCTATAATTGTGGCTCGCAATGTCCATAAAATGAACTAGGTGATTGAATTGAGGAGAATCTAAGCTTTCCAACGATGTCTAATATGCCTATATTGGTAAACAGTGTAATTTTCATGCATTCTCAGTTATTATTTGTAAAAGCTTTAAACCGGGTCGCCGGCGATCCGGTGGGTTTTGGAAATTAATTGAAAAAAAAAAAATAGAACTGAAAATCAGAAGTCGAAAATAACTTAATAAAAACCCCCGAAAACTTCTAAACTATTTAACTCATGTAAACTGACGTGCACTACCTCACCGTCATAGGCCCAACCAAAGACCACGTGGCCAAACCCCTCCAACCCCAGGGGAGATGCACATCAAACAAGATGAAAATAAACCCGTTTTTTTGGTGTGGTTTTTTTCAAACCCCTTAAATCCGATATATCACCAACATTCGCCAATATCAACGTCTATAAATCGTCCATCCTAACAATAACAGGACTGGGCAGTGTCCTTCAGAGCAGATCGCTGTTGACTGAAATGAGAGAAAACTTTTAAAGGAATAAACCACAGAACTATTTATGTCCATTAAATAATCTGCATGTTAGTAAGTTTCCTCTCTGGCTGGTCAGGTACAACTGTATTTTTTGCTTCAGCCTAAAGGCTTTACACATCTTACAGACCTGAGCCTGCACTGCCAAGATAAACGCCAGTGTTTATTTCCTCCATGCCGTTTTGTGTCAGTGGACTGTTTTCTCTCCATGTCGCCCTGTGTTCGTCTGTTAATCAGTCCAGGATGTACCTGCTCTTCTTCCAATGACCTTCGGCGATGCGCACCAACATCTTGAGACCTCTTAGATTATTTGTTTATTTTTAGGAAGACTCTTATTACCTCTGACTGCAAACTATAATTTACAACATTCACACTAATTATCCTGTCCTCCCTGAGATAAACAGTTTTGTAGAACCTTCTCTCATTATTCTTTAGTTTAGGATACAAACTGGTCATCCGGTTACTGATCAGAGATTTTCTGCTTTAAAATCAATTTTAATCTTAAAATAAATCACAGTAAATCCTAATTAATGCAAAACATTAGTGCTTGTGCTGTAGTCACTGATTCAAGAATGTGCCCAGAAAGATCATTTAGACGTTACTCATATGATTGGAAGTCTACAGATTTTTATTTCTTTATAAGGTTTCAATATTTCAAAGTTCGAACACTGATGTCAGACATATGATTTAGTATAAACTCTCAAATCTAAAGAGAATTTGCCACTTTCTGAACCAAGCGCGTGGAAGTAAACAGTCTGACAGAAACAGCAGAGAGCAGATTCATTGCTGTTCTCTGGGTTTCTGTCTGTGTTGACACGTGTGGCCGGCCGGCCAGCCGGCACATTTTTAGAGCTGCCAGCAGCTGTAGTCCCTGGAGGAAACAAACAGCTGATAACCTTACATCAGGCAGACGCTGCAGGCCGCTGAGGTTTAACTGACATGGATCAAACATTATGATAGCTTTTGTAAGAGAGTTTTTCTATTGGTAACACAAATCCACAGAGTTTAACAAGATGGGCAAAGAACAGACAGCATCCCTCCATCCAAAAATGGCTTCTATTGTTACCAGCCAGTTTGTGAATGTTTCTCTCATAACAAAGTGGTCGACAGCATCCAGGGATCAGAATTTCCGAATAGTGAAGAAAAACAAATATTTGTAGGAATAAACACTAACAGAAGTGTTAATTATCATACATGTTGGCTGATTAAAGGATGACTTCACACTACTGAGTCATCACAGGTTTGTTTTCAAACAACCATCTGTTTTTACTCAGTGCTCTCTGGAGGTAAACCCACTCATAAATATCTGACAAACACCGGCGAACCATCAGTCCATCTGTAGACCTTCTTCTGCAGCCTCCTGTTGCTCATCTGGGGGACTTTTAATGCTCCCTCTGAGCAGAGCAGACAGCTTTGTGTAAAATACAAAAGTTTCAATATGTCGTTTTTGTCCAGTAGAGCAGTTTGTTTTATACCCACGTCTGCTTTAAACCCCCTCAGGTACATCTGTAGTTATTAACCACCTGATTCTATGGGAGTCTAAAGACAGATCCAAGAGAATCATAGATCTCCTTACAGAAGGACATTAAAACCAGAATGTATCCCTTACAGACCTCAAGTAGGCCTATTTAAAGAGGGGGGGGGATAGATGGAGCTTTTCTCTAATTGACCAACTTGTCATTTTCCATCCATCCAAATTTATGTTGAGCCGCCCAGCAGAGGAAGCTTATATCAGCCATTTGTAATCTCTCTTATCTTCGCATTCTTTGTTAAATTTAAAACCGTAATAAGTGTTGGAAAGAGATCAGCGGCTCAACTGAAGGGTTCCCCACCTTCCTCACTACGACACACCAGCTCTGGATCACAATTTGGGCTGGGTAAAAAATCGATTTAATCGATTTTGAATCGATTCCTTTACATTTTGGCAAAATCGATTTCTAGGGAATGAGATCAATTAGTTTTAGTGACGTGCGTGACGTTCACATTCAAATGAGCAGGAAAAATGTACACAAGATGACTTCAAGCCAGACAGCTGCAAATATAGCCAATAGGTTGACTGAAGACATTAACAAATGGGGGCTGAC